GTGCATTTATTTCCTATTAACGTTATTAGAAACTCGGTATAATTTTCAACATTAACATAATATAGGCATGTATTAATTAAAACACCTCTTAGCCACAAAATAACGATCTCTTAATTTGCACGTTTAATTGTCTGTACAAATTATATAATTAATAAAGATAAATATTAATTCCACAGTAGCTTTTCGCAAATCTATAGCAGTTATAAGTTGTCTTAAGGGGTTCAAACAAGTAGAGGAAAATGTGTCGCTTATCAGCGCCGCGCCGCGCAGCTGTGTGCAGTGTGCAGTGCGCCGCGCCGTGCAAATAACACTTACCACCTTATCAACAGTTCTTAGCAATTTGCTTAATTAATGTAGTGGAAACGTTATTGTTAAATATATACCCAAGATCATTTTTCACTGTATTGCGCAATGTAGACTCTTGTATTTTGACGGCGTTCATTGATTTTGATAGTTTTTTGGCTAACACAAATATGCCCTCTATTGCTCGCCAGCTACTCCCCCCACGGCCCTCGCTTGATAGATACTTAGATTATAAGTGATCTTTATGCTAATCCACGTTAAAAGCTAATTTTATTTCTAATTACACTCATAGAGACATCGGTTGAGCGACTACAGCGTGAAGAAGTAACAAACGCATTTACTCAAACACACGCAACTTGCAAACTTTCGCTTTCATAATTTCTTTTACCGGATACTACAAATTTGAATTAAATAATATCTATCTCACTCTGTATAGTGCGTAAAGAAAAAATATATATTCAGAAGCGCTGATTTCAGTACCTACTGTAATATTTTTCACGTAGTTTTTACACGATACAAACAACAGTTTACTTTTACGAAACATAATATGTTTAGATTGACAATTGCGTCACGATCGGTATCGCAATTACATACCTACTTCTAAAATAGCTTTATAGTGAAATGAAATACCTTATATATATATATATATATATATATATATATATATATATATATATATATATATATATACTATATATACTATATGTATACCTAAGTATATAAAAAGCAGCAGTTGCATGCGCGTACGTCAGTGTTCGCACTAATTACAATTAAATGAGTATCGACTCACAGAGACCTTGAGCGGGGCCGGGACTGGCGATGCTTTGAATTTCTATTATTTATTCAATTATGTCATGAGCGTGCCCTCTTTGGGTATATTATCGGACATTTCATTATTTCGGTTTGACAACTGACACTTCTAAAGATGGAAAGTTAGTGAGGATTTATGTTTGTTGCTCTTTCACGGAAATTGGCAAACTACTACTGAACGAATTTTGATGAAACTTTACAATAATATAGCTTACACATCAGAATAACATGTAGTCCATAATTTATAAAGATATAGAAATATATAAAAAATAATAGAACTACGCGGTCAGAGCCGCTGGAAAACGCTAGTGTTAAATACCTATGACCTACAACATTCTTCGTCACGGCGTGCACCAGAAATGAATATATAGTTTTACTGTCATTTATTCCGTTTTTATTATGTCATTTATTTGTGAATACAATGCTTTTTAATTATTTTGACGTCGCCTTGAACTGAGCTTACATCACATTACGTAAAAAACATATCGATTCTTGTAACATTGAATAGGTATAATTGAATTGAACATCAATATTTTTTTTGATTTATCGGAAAACACATTCAAATTGTAGACCGCAAAAAATTCAAACATACAATAAATTATATTTACATGAATATTTGATTTCTTTATCTTTTATAGTATAGAATGAAGCCGCTTCAAGTTCAGCTACCGCTGTCTGTTCTCTCGCGCTCAACGGATTTTAATGCAGTTTTCAGCAATAGATAGAGTGATTCAAGAGGAAGGTTTATATATATAATATATGCATATTATAGTAGAGAAAGGCCGAGAAATTCAAAGATTTGTATTTCATACTAATAATTTCGAATGAAATGATCACGGGTACATGATACAGTCCCTTGGATTTTGCTGTAAAGTATTTTTTTATAACATTAACTTCATAGAAATTATTTTTTTCGATTTACTACGAGCCTTTTGTTACTAAATCCTAATGACTTCCCTTTTCTCCAAATCAGGCTCAGGACTGCGAACTGCACATCTTTCCCTAAGTTTTGCAAAAATACAACATCCAGCAGAAACCTTTAGAAATAGCGGCACAAAAAAGATTTTAGGTCCGAATTTCCTCCCAAACGGGCAAAAAAAAATATCCAACTCTAATATCTAGATGTGACTATAATGTCAGTGCACATATAAATCAAACCAAATATAAATATAATAATTCTCTATTAGAGACTTAGAAGCAACTTTTTAGTAGAAAACATTTACAAGTTTTACAAGTGGGCAAAAACCACGCAGACGTGACACAGTCTTTCGTCTCATTGATTTAAGCAGTGATGCTGCCAACAATCGTATAACAGGAACTTACTGCTCGCCGCAATCAAGCCGCGACTACTGAAATGACTTCTATTGTGAGCTGTTACGAGTGGAAGTGACGTAGCCATTCAGTTCATATCAACTGCTGATCATTCGAGCAGTCGTTCATCCTAACTGGTATTCAAGACTGTCAAATTAACAAAACTGCTGCTATATTAGTTAAGAGTCTAATGAGTGTCATGACAATAGCGTAATCTATACATATAATAAAATTGTAACTAAGTTGAATCTGTAGATTAAATGTTTTCTGGAAAATCTAATTGAAATAGACATTATTATCGATACAGAATCCGAATGTATATTGTTAGAATTTTTGTCTGTCTGTCTGTTACCGCATCACGAGAAAACCACTGGACAGATTTTGATGAAATTTAGTATGATGATAGCTGATTATCCGGATCAACATATAGGATACTTTTTACCACGGGAAAATATCTCATTTCTGAGAAAAAATACAAAAACTGCATTCTATGAGTATACTAATATGTAAAACCTAAGAATTTGATTTTTGGTCATTTGAACGGGAAATGTTAGTATGCTATAATACCACGAATTATCTTAAGCGTAGACAAATGCCATGACAGACTACCTCAATTTAAGCGCAAAGTTATCAACTATGTATCACAATTGTAACCCTTCGACTTATCGCTAATCGTTACTACGATAAATTATATTTTTTTTGTATAACTTTGTTTTGTGCGTAACTATTAATTCTAATCCTAAATTGTATTTTTTTGTTTTATAGGATTGACTATTTAAATATTATTATCTAATTTATTCTAATTCTATGTCTGATTATGTAATTTTTTATATTTCGATTGTCATATTTATTACTTTTATAATTTAATTTCAACTTTATTTATTAACTTATTATTATTTTTTAATTTTTAACTAGCATCTTGTAATTAAATTATATTGACGTGATTTAAAAAAAAGCATGTTGTGATAACCTATAACTAAAAGAACATTTATGAAATTGTTAGCGCATGAATATCATACCGTTTTTATTGTATCTTTTGTTGGTGTCCTTTAATAAATAAATAAAATAAATAAAATTCACATAGATCGTAAATGCCTACTTATCGGTGGACCTTCGTTTTAGCTTTAAACTTATAGAAACACATTCTCTACTGTTTAAGAAAAGTGAACATAGACTTAAAAACTCACAACTTATAAGAAAAAAAATCTGTTGCAATTGTTAACAGGGAGTCATGATCTAATATAGGTCATCATTGTAGCGCAATCGTTCGCCGAAACAGTGAGCGTACGTCGAAATGTCTTAAGGAAAACGTCGCAGGAACACGTGCTCCAGTGTGACTGTCATGCACTACACTTGGCAGACCATTTACAGGCCTTAATATAATTCTGTTTACGTGACGGAGAGAACATACCATATCATACATACCCATTTAAAATCCCGTTATTTTTACCCATTTTACATTTAACGTTGTGTATGTAGACAAAAAAATTATAATGTACATAGTTTTTTATTTAAAATGACTGTTAAAATGTGCACAGTAATATTGTCATCGTTTTATATAAAAATTAAATTATTTTAGAAAGCTGCAGGCCTCCGATAACATTGATAATATGAAGTGTAAATACTGTGTTGCGAGACAAACACAAGTTAAGCAAAGACAAGTAAATGAGATAACAAATTGATTGTGAGGTAAGGTTTGCTCGCGATAGCGTGTTGCTGCATCATTATAAGCCCTAATTAGATAGTTAAAATACATTTGCAAATAACATAATCCTTTTGACGCCTTTATTGTTAGTGTTTTTCTGTATATTTTATAAAATTGAAGTAATTTTTACTTAATGAATGATTGACTGAGAGACAGTGCAATAATTTCTTCTTCGAGTTCTCTTTACGTTATTACTTATATGACGTGAGCACTGACTGAGGAGTTTTGAAATTACCCTTCGCTAGATTATTGGCAAATGAATATGTAGCAAAACTTTGCATACAATTTCCCGTGGGATATAAGTCTACTGCAAAAAGTTCCACCAGGAGCGAGCCTGAGAAAGCGAAAGCATGCCACTGCATTTTTAATATTTTTGCCATATTGAAATAAGCGCAGGATATGCCACATCGCAGAGGAAGTATGTCTGCATAATGTGGAAATTAACTTGCGATAAAGAATGGTAGTTAATAGTACAGAATGCAGGAAACGGTGTTGTCGAGTGTGATGTGGCGGAACGCGCTAAACATGTCAATTTAGCTCTTCTCAAAGAATTTAATAGCCACCAATCATCTGCCCATTCCGGCAATTTGTATCGCGAATCTTCCACTGCAGAGCTAACGAGGTTTTAGTGCGTTTTAATAAACATTGCGTTGAAAATAATCGACGCCAGGAGTGTTGTCCTAATCATATAAACACAAACGTCGACAGCTGGCTGCGATTAGACATTTAGCTTTTGTAACAAATTGTATTGTTTCAAACTGATCTAAGTGTACGAGGAATACTGTTGCCTGCTTTGCGTCACAGTGACCGAACAAAAGCGAGTGTTTAGTGAGTATTTGCCATGAATTATAGTTTGCAATTTTTTTCTCACCTTCAGCGGGATTTGAAACGGCGTCGTGGACCAGCGACGCTATGCAGCCTGACAAACCTGGAATTAGCAAGTCATGGTGTTAAAATATTCTATTGTCATTATTTGGTTTTTATGATAAGTATAACCGGTCGATCGCAGAACATGTTTGTTCGAATCTTTTCTTTGCCGTTCAGAACATTATGTCACGATGGACGTGTGTTGTGTTAAAAAAATTCTACACGATAATGACACCTCAAACAGATCACACAGCTGTACTTAATCATTATTATCAAGGACGCGTTTGGTAGTACGTTTTTTTTTTCAATTCCGAGTCGATTGAATGCGTGTAGGTAAGTTTAAACAAACCTGCGACCGCCAATGCAAGTAGTCTTATAATAATATTTATTCATAAAACATGTTTGCTCTAGACGTATCACGGACTTTATAAAATGAATCCTTTATATAATTTTATACATTGAAACAACGGCGCTGGTGTTAAATGTTGTAAATATTACATTAAAAATGTAGTCACATGGCATGCGCAGTTCCGCTTCAATCTCGTACACAACACAATCATATCAAATTCCTCTTAAAGAAACTATTAGACACGTCTTAGTCGCAGTAACATACCATATTTCGGTCTGTTCTATCAACAACATACTTAATTAGTTTAAAATAGCAAAACAATTGTTACTAAAATTATACCTTCATAAGACAAATAAGTAAATACAAAGTGCAGTTCGTTGGTTGGACCTACAATTTTTGCTCAAAGACAGTTTATTTCTATTTTAGAGTAATTTTAACAAATCAAATTAAGCCACAGGATCATCACACACAAATACATATATGAACGTGATCAATAAAGACGGCAACAATATTATACAACGGTTAGTTCTTTTACAATAATTATAATTAGAAGAGCATAATTATTTAGTACTCTTTACTGCACCACAGAACCTACTATCTGCTTTCCAGACTAAGAGTAGTTAAAATTTGCGATATTACAGTAACATATGCATATTAGTAAATAACAAAGAACATACAACCAAAAAGAAAAAAGTATTGTAGTCGTTGTCAAGTAATGAGTGTAGGAAGTGAATACCGTGTGTGATGTGGTCGTGCCGATGCCTGGTGAGATGTGAGAGCGTGTGTTTGCACTGCTCGTAGGTGGCGAAGAAGCAGGCGTGCGCCGGGCCCGCGCCCATCACCACCGCCGACATGCCGCGGATAGGCCTGCACAACAAATATAAAATATAGTAAATTGTTATTGTACGAATATACTTACGTCATGTTGATGTTACGTTTTAACGAAACAGTGTAAGAGAGAAGGAATATAAAGAATACAGTGCTAAGTTCCTAAAATTTATTAGGTTAAGGGTTAACAACAAAAATGAGTTTACTACTCGTATTAAATACTATTGAGATTATATTAGATTAGATACGCGGATATTGTTCACATTTCAAGGGTTTTAATTTTATTGCGCGGTACCCTAATTTTTTTTCTAAAATAAAATTAGCCTAACTTACTCCTAATAATCAACCTTCTCATCATCTCATCAACATCCTTAAATCCTTATCATCAGCTATATACCAGTGAAACTCCCGTCAAACGTTTCGAAGATTAGCCGGAACAAACAGACAGACAGTCAGACAAACATTTTAAAAATAGTTTTTTTTCTTATAAGTACCGTACATACTTTCAACAAACACTTCAATTCAACACTTCCATTTTATTATTTGTATAGATTACGATATCGCAATATGACATATTATGTATTTATAAAACCAAACGAACGGTCAGCGTCAAAAACCCTATGATTATCGTTTCTTTTTTTTTATTGATTGTTAGCCGCCCCTGGTTATATGAGTACAGCACAGCTACTGTAATTATAGCAACAATGTCGATAAATACAGCAAGAAGGACGCGGATGGACGCTAGGTTTCCACATTATGATTACACGTGTAAGCGTTACGAGGCAAAGTTTAATTCATTTATGTTATTTATATTTTAATTATTAATAGGTAAATAAAGTATGCTTTTAAATTTAATAAGAATATTAATCACAGTAATCTATACATCTATACCTACATATAATAAAATTGTAACTAAGCCGAATCTGTATATTAAATATTTTTTAGAAAATCTTATTGAAAAAGACATTATTAATTAATTATAAATATTATCTATAGTTTTTCGAATTTTTGTCTGTCCGTCTGTGACCGCAACACGAAAAAACCACTAGAGAGATTTTAATGTTTGGTATGATGATAGCAGACCCGCTATCATATATATATATATATATATATATATATATATATATATATATATATATATATATATATATGCATATATTTAAAAAAATATTTCATGTTCACATTTCGCTTTTCACTATTTTATTATACGTTTAGTATATATTTCTCAGATATGAAATATTTTCCCGCAGTAAAAAGTACCCTAAGGCTAATTATGTTAACCCGGATAACCAACTATCCGGGTCAACATAATTAGGATACTTTTAAAAACAAAGACGGTTACGTATTGTGTACAGAATAGAGACCCAAAAACAAGTATCTATTTGTTTTGTGTGTCTTTTTATCTGTTTACTTTTCAGTTTTCTCATAAATAGTAGTGAACGGATTTCATCCAAATTTTGTGTAGTGATAAGTTAACCCGAGTAATACTCGGGTCAACATTTAGGATACCTTTTACTACAGGAAACTCTTTCAAAGCTAACCTCATTAAAGATAAGCGCAATAATTGAAATTAGGTAAAATCGTTCTTGTTTCTTATGCAATTTACATAACGAATAACAATAGTAAAGAACAACAATGCATGTAATATATAGTCTATAAATTTTAAAATATGTGCATACTTTGTGAACATACCCACGTTGACGCCCTTTCTGCTTCATTCTGGGGAAACAAATTGATATTATTTTGTTATTCCCCGAACCAAATATAAAACCAAAAGGGTGGGATCGTTTTTGGTAATATGACTGTTTAATATTGACAAAATATGTCAAAACGTATATTATATTACAGAAATAAACATATAATTAATATTTTGTTAAAATTAATTAGCTCTTTTTAGGATTAAATAATTGAGAGCTTTTGAAGAACGATTTATCACCAGCACAGACGCGGCGGCTGCAACAAAATCCGTTTTTTTTTTCATTTATTAAGTAAATGAAATGAAAGGAACCGTCTTACTTGAATTACTTCTAGTAAAGTAAGTTTGGTTCCACCCGTATTTAAATGACATATTTCGCATTATAACGCCATGTATGGACTATAAAGCATCGCAGAGCCAGAACAAGTGGCCGGCGGTCAAGGGCGCGGCAGAGCACGGTGTGGGCAAACATTGTAAGTATGGCTAATAGAAATTCGACGAACTTGAATAATTCATATTTAATACATATAGCAAAACTGAATAAACAACACATAATTCTTCTGCACAGTCCGATGTAGGTGACCTTGACAGACCAATTATAACAATTATTACAGACGAATGGACGACATCGGAGGAATCAAAAGAGAAAATATAAAAGGAAAAGTCGAAAGTGAAAGTTAAGTATTGCTAAAAGGCAAGTCACCGTTGACCTAAACACGTACGCGGAATTTAATATTGAGGTATCATATTGTAAAGAAGGATGTGATCGGGCGCGCTAGGACTTCAGACTATCAGGAGCAGGAGTCGCCGCCAGCGCTATCACTGGCTGGTACTTTCTGCTTTGAATAAATTGCCGTTTCCGCTCGATTAGTGCCGATAAATGCTATATTTAAATATTTATACATGCATAATTGGCTTTTCACGTTTACTTGCGATAAACAATTCTTAACCAATTCTATATTGTTTTTTCTTTTTGTATTTTTTTTTCGTATAATGCTTTTAAAAAAAATCCGTACATTAAAGGAAAAGAAGAACCCTTATTACTTCGTCCGTCAGCGTGTCTGTGAAATGACCCTATTCTATCAAGTGATGAAATCAAAATACAGATAAAGATTTTAGATATTGAATTTAGAATTACAATATCACGTCATAATAACAAACAATACTTGTTTAAAACACACACACACACACACATAGAAGACACCAATGTAATGAAGCATTCAATAAAAAAAATATCTACACGTTAATCGTCATTCAAAGATTTAGCAAACATATCTCAAAGTTTGGCGTCGTCATATATGAGATGTGTACACTGTACGACTGTAGGACTGTAGGTCTGTAGGTCTGTAGATGCACCGACAGCTACTACTCTGACACCGGCTATAAATAGATTTGACAAATGTGATTCGAGGTAACTAAGTCAATGGGTGACATACGAGATTCCAACTCTGTTCTGCGTTTGCATAATAAATACGTATAAATAGAGTGCGAGAGTACAAACAACTTCACGCATCACGCACTACGTTAATTTAATTACCAAATATTTAAATGTAGGTAAATAAAATATATAATTCCAAAAATTGTATTTTAGAATACATGGAAGAGGAGAGCGTTACAAGACTCAGTATTACTAACATTTGGCTATCTAATATTAACAATAAACAGCACGACGACTCATACACGGAAGTGCCACTGTGTAAATTGTGATATGTAATGTAAGACAAGCATTACGGTCTCATTTGTATTGAACAAGATAATTCCTTTGTGAACAAACTAAAAGTTCTTCATAAAATTATCAATGGAAATAGAAGCTCGTCTATAGCGAGGGTCCACAGTAACGGAGGAAGAATCTCCTTGCGGCTCCTCAGCTAGTGAGCATTGACTTTACCCATCTTACCGTTGTTGGGTCGATATTTTTATTTATCAACCCAGTCACCAACAGCGAAGTAGATAGAAGAGTTATCGCAAGCACCTTCAATGTCAAGAAAAGCACATAGCGCTATTTTTTTGTCTCCTATAGCCATTTCCACCTTGTCCATAAGACTTGTAAGGGCCGTCTCAGTTGATCTTTCCTTGCGATACACGTGCTGACTGTGGTGGATTGGATAATTGACCACGGCTACACCTCTAATATATACGACTATGGATACTTGTATAAATACCGAATTTTAAAGAACGCACAAACAATGTGCTAATCAAACTAAAATTCCTGCTAATATTTGTTATAAACGCAAAACTGATTTCTTGGTTATTCTTTCAACACGTTGACGTGATTTTTGAGTGGCGTAGAACCCCAATTAACAATATTTCTTTCAATTATATAATAATAATATGTAATAATAAATCTATACATATAATAAAATTGTAACTAAGCCGAATCTGTACATTAAATATTTTTTGGAAAATCTTATTGAAATAGTCTATAGTTTTTAGAATTTTTGTCTGTATGTCTGTCTGTTACCGCATCACAAGAAAACTACTCGACAGATTTTGATGAAATTTGGTATGGTGATAGCTGGTTATCCGGGTCAACATATAGAATACTTTTTACTGCGGAAAAATATTTCATCTTTGATAAATCTATACAAAACGTTAAAACGAAGTAGGTACGAACCCGAGCTAAGCCAGCCATTTTTACTTAGAGTAACAAGAACTTATTGCAGCAATAATTCATTGTTTTGTCTATAAGCGATACATTTTTAACATTTTTATCGCTCACAATTTAATGATAGGTTAATAATTTTTACCGGTAAACTACTTTGTATCTCGTCACATTAAGTTCCCATGGGATATTAGTATTTAGTATGTTGTAGTTAGGCAGTGGCAGCCCAGTGGTAACGCGCTCGCTTGGGAAACCGAGTGAAGCGGATTCAAATCCCGGGTCTCGCACCTCTGATATTTTCATGTGCGAATCATTTCTAACATGATTACCATTTGCCTTACGGTGAAGGAAAACATCGTGAGGAAACCTGCATGTCTGAGAAAACCTAGCAAGTTTTCAAAAGACATGTGAAGTCCGCCAACCCGCACTTGACCAGCGTGGTGGACTATGGCATGATCCCTTTTTTAATATGGGAGGCCCACCTCTAGCAGTGGGACGTTGAAAAGGGCTGAATATATCAGTATGTTGCATAACTTTTAATTATATAATACATGCAGGCAAGACAGTGCGTTATAAATAATAATATATTGTAAATTATAATAATATGCTGATTAGCGCGCGGCGCGGCGATAGGTGTCCACTTCATTTAATTGATAGAGGAAAAATCGCGTGCAGCAAACTGCGCATCCTATAGCTGCGTACAGCTTGCTAACCACAGTTTACGTTTACTTAGAGTAATAT